CAGCAGCCCCGCCCAGCTGCAGTCAGAGCAGGAGATGTTCACCCCTCCGCGTCCAGACTCCAAATGAATCGCGCATGCGCGAAGCCGCTGGCTGATCCTGCCTTAGGGCGGGATGTTAATTTTCTTTGTCTAAAATAAATGACTGCACTAAAATAAATCACAGATTTGATTCACACAGCCTCAGTCTGGTGAGGCTTGCTATGAGCACCAACTGCCTGATGATGTTCTACACCTTTTTGCCACATCAGCTGCTTACTCAAAGTCAGCTCCCTCAGTTGCTGAACTTAATATAGAGAACCTTGACCAAAATGATGATGACCCACACTTTCGATGAGCCAGCACAGCCTGTTTGTATGTGGAGGGGCATCATTTTCTTACAATGCTATTGACAGTTTTTGTCACGGTCGCAGGAAGGCGAGCAGGGAAGCAGGGGAGAGGAGCCAGGAAGTCGGGTGGAAATGGGGATTTATTCGGGAAGCAGGACCGGGGAAACACGACAGTTAACATCAATGACGAGTCTGGGGAAGACTGACTGAGACAAGGACTAAATACAAACGACTAGCCAGACATAACAGGACACAGGTGATCACAATCAGGGCTGAACACGAGGTAACGAGGTGGGCGTGGCACACATCGGGATCGGACGGAGCGGATCGTGACAGTTTTTTCTATTGTCCTTTTTGGTCCATTTAGATTGTTAATGTAGATTTTATACAAAAAATGTTATGGTTGAAAATGTTCACTGTACACTTGTACACTTAAGCAAACTTAAAAATAAATAAATAAATAAATAACTCCACCATTGTGTGTCTTTGGGGTCACTTTTGCCAGTCCCAAGCCCGGATAAAGGAGGAGGGTTGGAATTGTGATATATAAAAAAACAATAAAGTTCATTTGTAGTTCTAAACGTAGTTAGGCTTTTTTTTTTTTTACCACTTTTTGTCTCTCCCACGACATTATTCCTCTCCTACGGCATCCATTATAATGAACATGCACGTTATGCAAATCAGGCGATGACGTCATTTAGCGACTTCTAGCGACTTTTGGGACGACCAATAGCGACTTTCCTTGCTGAGGAGTTGGCAACAGTGCTGACGCGACGTGGAGCCAGTGTTGCCAACTTAGCGACTTTGTCGCTATATTTAGCGAGTTTTTAGACCTCTCTGGCGACTCGTTTTCAAAAAAGCAACTAGCGACAAATCTAGCGACTTTTTCTAGTGTTATTGGAGACTTTTGGAGACTCTGACATGGAAGAACCGAGCAGCAGGTGCTGCCATGGGCTCGCCTCCCATCCCAAAGCATTCACAGGTGGACAGTCCTCGCGCAGCAGCCCCGCCCAGCTGCAGTCAGAGCAGGAGATGTTCACCCTTCCGCATCCAGACTGCAAATGAATCGCGCATGCGCGAAGCCACCACTGGCTGATCCTGCCCTGGCTCATTGCCAAAAACTCCGCCAGGTAAACAGTTAAATGACAGTTTTCAAGAATAAGTAACTCCGCCAGTGTCTCTTTGTGGTCAACTTTTGCCGGTCCACAGCCCGGATATAGGACGATGGTTGGAATTGTGATATAAAAAAACAAGAATCGACAGAAGAAAGTTCATTTGTAGTTCTAAACGTATTTAGTGTGTTTTTAACCACCTTTTGTCTCTCCCACGACATTATTCCTCTCTCCTACAGCATCCATTATAATTACATGCAAATACATTATAATTACATTATGCAAATTAGGCGATGGCGTCATTTAGCGACTTCTAGCGACTTTTGGGTCAACCAATAGCGACTTTCCTTGCTGAGGAGTTGGCAACAGTGCGTGGAGCGCGATCTATCCGTCGGCTTCAGGGTTGGAGTATGAACTGACTGCGGCCAAGTCCAACAACTTCTACTCCTCATAGTCTGCGAGACCTGACTGCAATGGCAGCACTGCCAGAAGGGTGTAGATAAATCTATGCAAATATCACCTGCATGCACATTACTTCTTTTACAATAACCAACTCCTGATACAAACTGTTAGCAGTGAATAAAACTATTTTGTATAGTGGCTCTGTGTAAAAAGATAGCTGCCAGGAAAAAGATCAAATACATATATTTCAAGGATTCAAAGTTTTTATTGTCATGTACAGAGTACAATGCAATTCTTACTTGAATGCCTTCTTCACAGACTGGACGATTAAACAAATAAAGCAGCGCAACATTACAGTAACTGACAATAAATAAACCACTAACTTACGTGTACTATTAGAGCATTTATGTAATTTATTTAAACTTTATGTAATTTATGAAAACAGTTCTCACTGCTTTACGTGCTTTTCCGGAGAAATAGCAGATAACGCATTGGAACTTCCTGGGATACAAACGTCATGCATGTGACTAAAATCTTCAGCCAATAAGGGCAAAGTTGTGTCGTCACAGAGGCGGTTCAAGTTTGTGCTGCACGGTCTGTCTCAAGTCATCTTGCTCTCACGAGGATTTTGTACCATGTGACATGGTGACGCGTGGTGACTTTTTGCAGCGCCAGCCAAAAGAATCTAACCATGATTTGACATTTTCTTTTTTTTGGTTTAGATAGTTTTCTACCTCAGAATTTTAAAAAGTTTTTTTTAAAACTTAGACCAAGAATAGAGGAAGATACTTGTTGCAGTCTCTTCTATCCTGCTTTATTTTATGTTTGCCCTTTAACATATTTGCAATATTATACAGTTTTGCACATTGTTGCATTATTATATGGTTTTCATTTGAGCTATGTTTCTTTGAATACTTGAAAATCAATAACCTTTTATATAATTTTAAGGGAATTTTGTATGTAAACAGTAAAATTTGTTGGAAAATAAATATTTGTTTACTAATATTGTTTATTTCCATGTATTCATTATTCAATCCAGAATAGGGTTATTTTTATTATTATTTTGATTATTACATTATTACATGGAACAGCATTGTGAAACTATAATACTGATACTGTAATTATCGATATCAGTCAATACAGGAAAAAATATCGTGATAATTTTTTTTGCCATATCGCCCGACTCTAACATACATGCATTTTGTTGTGATTCAGACATTGGCGGTCATCCAATCAAAATACTCATTATACGCGCAAAATAAATGTAGCGCTAGTTAAACGTTAGTTAAATGTGTAATCACATGCCACTGCAGACATCAAGATGTCAGAATCTTTTAAGCACTTGTCCTTATTCTTATTAATGCACAATTTGATGTGCAGTTTGTATTGGTATATAGTATTTGTAGTTTGAATTTGATTCATGTGACGTGTGCGCATGTATTTATATTGTTTGATTTTACTTAAAATGGTGTTGTTTGACTAAATAAATCTGACCATTGACTTTTAAATAACATCTGCATATCACGTTGTGTTGACTTAACAGGCCTAATCCATTTCAGGGAAGTTGATATCATACAGTGTCATATGGCTAGTACTACTACAATGGGACATGATGCAATTTCAAGTTTATAATTGTGTATCTTCAATTTGATGTTACAATTTCATCTACAAATTAAGTATAATCGAAATCAGTTACATATTTCCCATCCTTTAGACAGTTGTTGGAGGTGTTAGTTGTTTTGTCAGATGACTTTCGGACCAGTCAGTACCCGTCATGTCAGTCCTCAACAGCACACAAAAGTTAAGGGAGTCTTTTTTTTCGGTCTTGGACTTGGTCTCGTCTCGACTTTGTTTTGGTCTTGACTCGGTCTGTCTTGGTCTTGGTCTTAGTCTTGGTCTTGTCTTGGTCTCGATACCCTCTGGTCTTGGTAGTGTCTTGGTCTTGGTTTAGTCGGTCTTGACTACAAGTCTAGGTGATACCACTCATTTCAACAATCAAGAGCAAACCAAACTAAATGCCTGTGGTTTAAATAAGATAGACTCCACCAAAAAACTCTGTAATGATGTTCTGATAATTTTCACCTGATATGATGCCACCTGAATCTAATTCTAGGAATTTTAAATTATGATGGTGTCCTAACTTTTTCCACAGTGGAAAGTAGGATCTTAGTTAAGTTCTTTTCGTAAATAAATGAATTTGTTTCTTGTTTTTGCATAGATGATGCAATTACATCACCGTCATCTACAGATATGATTTGAAAGAAGATTTAATACTGATATGTTGCTATTTCTTAATAAAGAACTAAATATTTAATGGTGTGTCCTAATTTTTTCACATGACTATATTAGATTAGATAAGTGGCACAAAATGGATGGATGGATGGATGGAACTGTATTGAAAAATAACGCTACTTATGAAAGTAGGCAAGTAAGAATTTCAAGTTAAAATTCCATTGTACTTTGTATTCATGACACTGCTTTCTTTTAAACTTATACTGCCATTAAATTTTGAAGCCACTGTACACAGAAGGACACAATAGTGTTTGGAATATTTTCTTTCTTGCCTCTGAAAATATACAGTTCTTCTGGCCACTCGTTCTTAAAAAATCAGATGCTACTTTAATACTATCTGTACCATATGTAAATTGTTCTTAAACCCCACGTACGCAGTTTTTTACAAAGATTCTGACATTCCCCAATGTTTTCTTACCTGAATTTGTTCTTAGCTAAGAACAGAGTCTACGCACACTCAAGACCATTCGTACGCACATTTGAGTAATGATAGTTTGTTCAAAATAATTGGTTATAGCAGTTTTGTTCATTTTACAGTTCATAAAATGATAGTATTTTAATAATTTATAAAAGTAAAATATAAAAAATAATTTTAAGTGTAAAAATTATTTTCATGGTAGTAACGGTGATCATGCGGATTATAAATAGGTCAGAATCTTCATAAAAAAGTGCGTGTCTCACAGCGCAGGGGGCAGCCGGAGCGCCGCAGACTCGGGCGGCTACATGCGTACAATATATTGGGAATAAAATGTGTGTATTGGAGCGAGTTCTGTGTTAGTGAGTGTGTGAGGTGTGACAGTGATGATGATGGAGATGCTGGGCTTCGTGATGGGATTAATCGCTCTTCCTCTTGCCTACAGACTCCTGCCAGCTGACGCTGGACCCCAACACAGTACACAGCCGCCTGTCTCTGTCAGAGGGGAACAGGGACGTGACATGGCGGTTATGGAACCAGTCTTATCCTGATCATCCAGAGAGATTTGACTACTATTACCAAGTTCTGTGCAGAGAGAGTCTGACTGGTCGCTGTTACTGGGAGGCTGAGTGGAGTGGAATTGGAGCCCAGATAGGAGTGACTTATAAAGGAATTGGGAGGAAAGGAGACAGTGATGACTGTGGGCTTGGAGCCAATGAAAAGTCATGGAGGCTGTTCTGCTCTCCTGACAGGTACTCTGTCTGTCACAATAATAAACGGACTGTCATACCCATAAAGCCCTCACGCTCCCGCAGAATAGGAGTGTATCTGGACTGGGCGGCTGGTATTCTGTCCTTCTACAGAGTCTCCTCTGATAGACTGACCCTCCTGTACAGCTTCACCTCCCCATTCACTGAGCCCCTCTGCTCAGGGTTTGGGGTGGTTTTAATCTCCTCTGTGTCCCTGTGCATGCTGGGATAGCTCACTGTGTGCTGGAGGAATCATTTTTACCTTATCAGAGTGTCACATGTCGCTGTTTCTCCATGGCAAAAAGGTAAAATCTGCTTTTTAACCAGTATAACCCTTTTTACTCTGTCTGAAGTGTGACGTGTCAGACAAAAATAAATTAATGTTTGTTCAGTTGCCAAACTCATGCAAAATGACTTTTTCTCTGACTTCTGTTCTGTGTTGTCTGTGAATGCACAAAAACTGTCAAAACAAAATCATAGTACATGCAGTACCAATAAAGTGAATTCTGATTCTGAATAAAATCAAAAGTAATGAATTGTAATCCTGATGAGTGGGGGGGTGGGGGTTCCCCCTTCCCTCTATACAAGGGCGGTAACTTTGGCTGGAACATTGGGTCTCCACCCATTACAGGGGAAACATAATTATTGGGGGGGTTATATTGGCTGGATCTGATTATTGGGGGGGCCATGACGCCCCTAACCCCCCTGGAAATTACGCCCATGCCTCTATAGCTACATTTTATATATTTCTGTCTATATATTATATTTGCTACCTGTACACTGACAATAAAGGTTTCCTATTCTGTCCTATTAATGTCCCGGTTCAGCGCTGCCCAAAGCGTAACTGAGTAACACACTTAATCCACGTTAGTACTAGAACGAATATTTTGTGATGTTGCAAAAACACACCTGATCATCAATGATGCAGTGTAGGTGATTACCAATTACTAGAAAAACGCATAAATTATGTTTGATTAGGAATCCATATATATAAAACGTGGACCGTCTGGGGTTCGCCGAGGACTGGGTTAAGAACCACTGGTATAGAGGGACCACAAGATTAGAGCACTTAAGTCTAGAGGACTGTGGGACTGCAGTGCGTCATCTGCAGAAGCCTGTTTACTCCTACTAGGCAGCTTTCATGTGGCGCCCCCTGCTGAACAGTGGAGTCATTACAGAGACTGTGCATTGTG